CGCTCCCCCTTCCTCGTGTACAGCTGCGGCTCTCCCTCGCGATGCTCTGGAACGAAGGGTCCAGCGTATGCCCACCGAGGCACTGCGTCTGCACACATGTCTTCCTGCATGTGTTCAGGTATGTCTTCAGCATGTTTTTTTTCTGCCGATGCGCCGTCAGGGCGCGGCTCTTGCCTGCCTGCCTGCCTGCGGGCACCGCACATCGTATGGCCAGCGTTGTCGGAAGTTTCGAACGTGCCGGCCCGCTTATGGCGCACATCGCTTGACCAGCGTCTACGCCAAGAAGTTCGCTCCATGCGTGCCCGCTCGCGCGCGCTGGTCATCGCGCTGCCAGCGTTGAAACCAAGAAGCTCAGTCCGAGCGCGCCCGTTTGCTTCCAGCACGCCTCAGGTTGCTTAGAAAGGTTAGCCATGCCTGGCCCTGGTTTCGGCGACGGTAATTCTTAGATAAGCAAGCCTTTCCATGAGATATAGAGGCTCTGATTTGATGTTGTAGAGCCGGTGGGTGCGAGGCGCGGTCGTAGCCGTGTTCCAGGATTTCTTGGTCTTATTTTGTTTGCAAGAGGGTTCCCCAGGATTGTTGGGACTCGTTTCCTTACAAGGCCTTGCCCAGATTCCTTTGTCTCGTGTTCCTCAGGGTTCAAGGGTTCCCTGGGTTCCTGGGTCTTCTTTCCATCTTGTTTTGAAAGGTCGGCCTGCTTCGGGTTCCCTTGATTCCTTGGCATTTGTCTTGAAGCAACGCCAAGACATGCTAAGCAATGCCAAGTAAGTTGAATCGATGCCAAGCGATTCGAAGAAATGCCAAGTAATGCCAAGTGATGTCAAGCAACGGAAACCAGTGCAACGAAATGGCAAGCGATGCCAAGCAATGTCAAGAAACGCCAAGCAAGGCTAAGCCATGCAAATCAATGCCAAGCATTACAATTAATTCCCAGCAGCGCACAGGAATGCAAAGCAATGCCAAGCAACGCAAAAAAATGCCAAACAATGCCAAGCAAAGTAAGAAATGCAAAGCAATGTAATGTTAAGATGGGCAATGCAAAGTCAAGCAGCGCAAAGCAATGCCAAGCAATGCCTCTTGGGAAGCGTTCCACTAGTTGGGGGCGCGCCGGGTTAATTTAGAAAATGTTTCGCATTCTGTTTTGCAATGGTGCTTTGGCACGTGTCGTATCACGCGAGACGTATTGCAAAGGCCTCGCGGCGGGTTCCGCCGACTTTGGAAACGAGAAGAAAGAGGAGGAAGAGGAGGAGGAGGAGGAGGGGGAGGAAGAGAAGGAGGAGGAATCTGAGTTAGAAAGAGAAGTGGGATGGAGAAGGAGGAGGAGGAGGAGGAGGGGCACGAGTGGGAGGAAGACGCGGAGGAGGTGAGGGAGGAGGAGAGGGAGGAGGAGGAGGAGGAGGAGGAGGAGGACGAGGAGGAGGAGGAGGAGGAGGAGGAGAGAGGGGGTGAGGAAACGAAGGAGGAGGAGGAGGAGGAGGAGCCCGAAGCGAGGAAAAACCTGAGAAGATCCTCCGCCTTCTCCTCGATTTCGTGATCCTCGTTGTCGGTATCCCCCTCCTCTTCATTCCCCTCCTCTACGATAAGTGGGCCATTCTTAGTCGAATATCGTCTACTCTCGCTGTCTGCGGGTTTCTCCCCGCTTCGGGCTTCCAGGAACTGGTCCTGGAAACCGAGTGTGTGAAAGACAGGTCTGTGTTTGAATTCATGTTTGGGAAGGTGTCGGGTCTTATAGGCTCGTCTTTGGCGTTTCTGCCGCGCCGTCGCCGTCGCCGTCGGGTTCAAGGACTTAGTTCGCGAAAAAGTTTCGCTGGCCCTTCAGGGTGTCATCTCGAGTCCATTTGGGCCGGGTTGAAGCCATCTTCAGCCATTGAGCTATTTTAGAGTCGTTTTCGAAGCGGGTCATGGGGGTAGACGGGGAGGAAGTGTGAAATGAGGGTGATGGAGAAGAGTGCGGGAGGGTGTGAGGGGGGATCGAAGAATAGTGGAAGGGGGATTTCAGAAAGGACATCAGCAGAGAGGGAACGTAGGAGGAGAGATGGATCCAGATGGAAGCACGGGTGATAGAGGTGGGGTGATGGGAGGAATGCATGTGGAGTGGTTGCGAGGAGGACATGTGAAAAGGAGTGGAGGGAACGCAAGCGAGGAGGGGTGGAAGCGGGACGAGGGAACCTATCCCATGTTAGGTACATGTTGTTCTGGCAGTGAAAATCTTCGAGGAGGACATTTAGGATGAGGAGAGGAGAAGGAGGAGGGAGGAAAGATGAGGGAGGAGGATGACGAGGAAGAGCTACATAAGGTAGAGGATGTAGAGGGAGGGCGGGGGCTGGACAACAGTTCTCAGGGATGCTTCTTGGGATCTCTTCAGTCTCGGGAGGGCAGTTTTGAGGCATCTTGGAGGCCTGTTGGGGCTGCCCAGGGGTCTCTTGGAGGCCTCTTGGGGCTTCCTTGGGGCCGATTGGGGCCTCCTGGAAGCCCTGGGGCCGAGGGCTCGAAATGTCCGTTCGGGTCCCCCGTCCGGGCGCCCTTTTGGAACCGTCTTGGGGGCCTCCTGGACCGATCTCGGAGGTCTCTTGGGCAGTCTTGGACCGATCTTGGGGGCCCATTGGGCCATCTCGTAGCGCCGGGAAGCCGAAAAGGCGAGAGCGCCAAAATATTCCAAAAACCCAGGGGGGAATCAATGAATCTTGCCTCCCTGGGCCCTCTCTGCAGTGCCCGCGGAGGCTTGCTTCGGACGTCTTGGAGGCCTCCGAGGCCGTCTGGAGGCCATCTTGGGGCTCTTGGACCGATCGCTCGGCGACTCGGAGCCACTTAGATTATCTTGGGGGCGCAGGGAAGAAATCGAAAGGATCTCAGGGAGTCGGGAAGATCCCGGGGGTAGTGCTCCCCCTCCCGGGACCCCCCCCCCACCTCCCCTTCCTTACCCCCCCCCAGGACCCGCCCCCGGGACTCCCGCCCCCCACCCCCTCTCCGGGTCCGGGGAGGGATCGAAGGAAAGGGGTTTCCCTTCGACTCGACGACGACAGTGCTGGATGTCATTTGAGCTGACGTGCCCGAGGAGGAGCGTGGCCACCACAGAGGGAAGCGGGAATCAGGTGAAATCTGCGGAAACACGGAGCAGACATCCCTTCACACACGCTGGCAGGGTTGGCGGATTCGGGTAAAGGTACCGCTACGGACGAGCATGCAGCCTGCATCCCGTATCCAATCAACGAGTAGTGATTTAGATGCAGACCTCGTTTGGTGATGCGTCAACGATCCAACATGTGCACGAGAGGGGGTAAAGTGTTGGCCGCATCAGAGCATGCCACTGGCACGTAATATGTGGCGCGCTTATTCATAGTATGTGTGTTGGGCACTTCCGCTTGCGAACCGACATGTCCAAATGGATTGTTTCCTTGCGCCAGCCAGGTCAGTACGCCAAGGATCAGGAGCGTGCATTTTACCATTTCACATGACCTAGGCGGCTTCATGTTGGTATATGGTCTGCACTAGAACTTCAGTTCGATCAGTGACAAGTGTACACGGTTGTCTGTTTTGCAAAGGCACCATCGTCATCGTAATTTGTGGACAGCCCAGCTGTTATATCGATGTGGATATAGAGAGATACCTCCCTCTCTAACTTTCTCTCTCTCTCTCTCTCTTTGCGCGCATGCCCTTATGATTTTCTTCCAGTTACGACTTTTCTCTCTCCGATGGCAGGGCCCGTCTTTGAATGGGTTGCGCACTATGTCTTTTGCTCCGACCGAACTCTGACTTGCGACTCTTGAGAAACAGCGGAACCCAGTCGACTGATGTTCAGTTGGAGGCCGAACGGTTTTGTAGTTGAATTTGCTCGCTCGTGGCTGACCGGAAAGTAGTGCGCGCGGAATGCACGCAAGGACGGCGTAGGGGGTCGCGGGTCTCGCTGGGAGGGGGGGGCGCGGGAAAGGCGCGTTGGCGTGAACGGGAACGCGCGACGCTCTCGCTTCTCGCCCCCACCATTCTTGTCCGCACGTGCGGGGGATTGCGCAACCAATTGTGACACTCCTTTCTGTGTCCTTTTCCCCTGTTGCCCGCTGCAGCCAACAGAGACAGGTCGTAAGCGGATCCACCACGGAGGACAGAGGAGGAGCAGCAGCAGCAGCAGCAGGAGGCGGACGAGAGGGAGCCGCGCGGTGGCAAAGACCCCGCTCCGAGAAGAGCGGCTTCGGCACGCAGACCTGGGCCGACGGACGGCGGTGGACTGGGCTGTGGAGAGGCAGCTTGCAGCATGGGCACGGCATCCTGCACGTGGAGGACGCGTGCGCGCCGCATCATCAGGATGTAGATGGCCCAAAGAAAGTTGCTGTTATCAGTCGCCCACCCTCGCGCGCTGTTCTTCAGCCCTCTTGTATCGGGCCTTTGCTCTGGATAGAGCACTTGTTCGGCACATCAAGCTCGGCATCTTTCCTCCTACCTCCCTTCTCTCTTCTCTCCGCGTCTCGGCCTCACCTCCTGGGTGCTGCCAGGGATGCCACTGTCACCACGTTGCTGCGCCCCTGGGGGTCCAGTGGACTGCGGTCCCTCTCGCGAGGACAGGAGGGGGCCGCGCCTCTCCACCAGTGCCGCCGGGCGCGCAGCTGTCCCCACTTTGCGGCGCCCCTGAGACGCCAGGGGCGCGCGGTCTCGCGCATCCCCACACGGGACCTCGCCGTTGCCTGCGCGTTGCCAGGCATGCACCCGTCGCTGCTCAGCGCAGCCAGGTCCTAGGCAGGCCCGGACGGAACCTCGCCACCGCCCGAGTCTTGCCGGGCATGCCCCCGTCACCGGTCTGCTGTGCCTCGGCAGGCAGGCATGGCCCCCAGCTTCAGATAGAGGCCCGGCAGATGCAGCAAAAGAAACATTGAACGCATCTGCTTCCCTTGACTACGTGCGCGACGACGGCGACGCGACCGACACGACGACGGCGACGACCGCGGCGGCGACATGAAGCGACGACGGCGACAACGACGAGCGCCGACGGCGGCGACCGCAACGACGGCGGCGGCGCGACCGGGACGACTGCGACCGCGGCGAGCGGCAAAAGCGGCGACCTCGACGGCGACGCGGCGACGATGGCGACGAGCGCCGACGGTGACACCAGCGGCGACGAGGGCCATGCCACCAGCATTTGGGTGATGGACGGTCGCTTGGCTCAGCGGGCACCGCAAAATTCTGCGTATTCAATCAGTGTTCGAGTTTCTGCCTCCACTTCGCTTTATCACCACAGTGCGGCTCGTTTCCCTGTGGGGTGGGCGGGTTTCTTTTCCGCTGCTAGCAGGCCTGGGCACGCCGCTGTGTCTGTTGCACACGGCATCGGGCATGCGAATGCCTAGTCATTGCGATCAGTTTTTTTGTTGACCAAAAAAATGTTGTCTATGTTTCCTGACTCCTCCCCCGTCATGCCCTCCTCTTCCGTTCTGCTCCTATTTCCTTTCGCCGTGGATCCATGGGTCAGGCAATCTGGGCCGATTTTCGTGCCACGGGACTCTGGGGCCGAATTTCGGCCACGTTCGCAACACAGCTTTGCTACACTGCCGAAGACAGGCGCACTCTTTGTGTTCTATGCCCAGGCTAAGGTCTCGCGTGTTGGTTCGCCTATTTCAAGTTGGCCTTCGCGCGACTCCACGATTGTTTGGTGCATTTTGGATGTTCCACCCTTTGCAGAACCTCGTGGCTGTTGCCTGTAGCAGGTAAAACGATTGATAGTCGGGCCAAGTGGATTGCTGCCTGTCTAGACTTACAAGGGGCGTGGTCTGTTCGGAACGTACATTATTTTGTTATTCGCGCGGGTTGCTCTCATGTCGTTTGCTTGAGCGCATAATTTGCAAGTAGTGGGCACTTGCTCTGCAGGTGCTCGCCGACTCCCCTCTCCGCTGCTATTGAACAATCATGGCAGTTCTCGTTCTGGCAGTTTGAACGCAGTTTACGTATGATGGGAAATTCCACCGCGACGCAAGGAGAATCGGCATGCCCAGCGCTATTTCAAGTCACGCGCCAACTGTAATCAGCAAATCAGTTTCGTGATTGCTTTGCGTGCACCTGCTCAGGATGGGTCTGGTCGGCCAGATGAGGACGGACACTGGCGAGACGGACGCAAAGTCACGAGCGGAGAAAAGGAATGCCACATGTGTTCGCCACTTTGTACTCTTGTACTTGTCTTGCGATCCACTTTCGCTCGCGACGCTACTCTCGCTTTGGTATGTATATACATATATATATGTGTATCTCTATTCATATATGTCTCTCTCTCTTTTTTTCTCTCTCTCTCTCTCTCTCTCTCTCTCTCTCTCTCTCTCTCTCTCTCTCTCTCTCTCTATCTCTCTCTCTCTCTCTCTATATATATATAGTGTTGCTCTCTCTCTCTCTCTCCTCTCCCTCACCCTATAGATATATCCCTTCGTATCTGTACGTGCTCGCAAACGAATCTAAATCTTCGATGCCAGTGAATGAGGCCGCTCTGGTGTTAGAATGTCGTGGGGACAGGGGCAGTCGGCCGCCCCAAATCGGGCGGCCGAATTCTGATAGAGTCATCGCCTCTGTCTGCGGCCCAAGATCGGGACGGCCGAATTTTGGTAAAAGTTTCGCCCCTGCCTGTTCTCTTGCAGGACATGTTCCCAACAGCTGTCCGGAGCAATCGCTTGGCTCGAGCTGGCTCGGTTTCTAGTTTGCCCCGCGGGCGGTGTATGGTCGACGCCCTCCTTGCGGAGGCCGTCCGAGCGGCGGATCCGCTCCTGGTCGGGCCGACGCTGCTCATCTGCAGCTCGCGCTGCCCCGAGGTGCCAGCGTGCCCTCCGTGCCCCGAGTGCCCGCAGTGCCCTCAGATCCCGGCTTGCCCAGCGGCCTCTCCGATGCCAGAGCATCATCCTGACGTGCTGGAGGTGCCCGTCACCTCTTGGCCGCAGCTGTATTTGGTGGTTTGTACCACGGCCTGGGTGACGTGGGCGTTCTGCCGTTGGCCTCAGGATGGCGCCCACAGGTGCCAGGCAAGACATGAGGTGGGTGTTCGTGTGGCTCACGAAAGCGGAGGCATTGTGGCACCAGCGGTACGTCGTGGGAACGGTGGGGTCGTCGGAGATTGACTTCTTCGTCACCTCGCCCAATGACGGCACCTGCGAGGAGTCGTGCGCGGAGACCAAGTCTGACATCGTGGGCGCGAGGTGGTCGGCCACCCGATGGTCGCCGCCTCCACGAGTGCCTCGCGATTTGGTTTACCGATTCTGGGGCGCGCCGACTGCAGCTCAAGTCGCGGCTTGGGAGGCGCCGGCAGACCTTCGAGCAGGAGCGCGTGGTACCACCGTCGGGGACCCTCCTGCTGCTCGTGCCGATGCTACTGGACCTGACCTCGGCGGGCTCGAAGATGGAGTTTGCGAGCGCTGAGGCGGATGCGGACGCGCGCCTGCTGCCGCTGCGGGGGTCCGCAGCCAGCCGCATCAGGTGGCTTTGCCAGGACGCGGTCGAGAAGGTGAAGGAGATCACGCTCGGAAATTTCCCAGTCCTTGGGCCGAGAATGGCGGCTTTGCGCGTGGCCTTCCTCAATCGGCGCGGAGGCGGAGCCGTCGATCATCATAAGTGGTGGGTGGTTGCATATCACCTCCAATCGGATTGGTGGGGGTTGCAGAACACGGCCTGATCCTCCAGGCACTCGAGCTCGCCTTGTGCTATGGCAGCTTCCACACGCTCAATCTCGGTATCGTGGAGCTGCTGCTGCGCCACGCCCAGCCCATCGAGCACTGCTACTCGGAGATGGGGCCCGTGGGCATGAGCAGCGTCGGGGCCGTCGCGGGCGAGAGCGATTCGGCGGCGACCAAGGACAGCAAGGACAAGAACAAGAAAGGCGCTGGTCGCGACAGAGGCCACGGCCCTCTGGCGCTGCTGCGCGCGGGCATGCACGACGAGAGCGCGATCTTCCTGGGCGCGCACAATCAGTTCGGGTCGGTCATGGTGGCGCCCGACCTCCTCGAGGACTCCTCGACTACGTGGCGAAGGAGGTGGAGAGAGACGCTTCGGTTCTCAAACATATCCACAAGGCCTGCGAGGAGCGGGCGGGGGGCCGCCACGGGGGGCCTTCGGGCCCCCCAGCATGACCGAGCTCATGCCTCGTAATGGTCGTCAGCGGGATCTCCTGACTCTGCCGATCGCTGCGAGGATCTACGACGATATGAGTTGCTCTAACGCGAGTCATCTATCCCGGAGTTGTTGAAGGCGCCGTCAGCGACGATCTCGCATGTTTCAGCGGCGGCTGCCCTGAATGAGATAGCGGCGGGCCCTGGCGCATCGCAATTAGGGTCGAGCTCGTCGCCTCCCACGCAGGGCCAGCAGAAGCGTCTGGACTACACTGTCGTGCGCCGAGGCGGCGGGATCGACTTGGACGGCCTGGGAGCCCTTCGGGAGCTCTGGGCCCGCCGCGGCTACGATGGCGAATCTAGCACCGCGGCCCCCTTCGACGTTAGCCAGCTCGCCTTGCCGGCGAAGGGTCATAGGCCGTCGTCTCAGCCGTCTCTTCGCGGGCCTGTTGGCGTCGAGCTTGCGATGGGGGTTCGCTGAAAGAGTTCGGCCACATGAGGAGGCTGGGCGACGGGAGGTCGCGACAGGAGCGAAGAGGCTTTCAATGCCCCGCGGCTTCGGAGTCGCCGGGTTCATCTAGACTTGAAATTAAAGCTTCACGAATCTGGGTTGCCTGAGCTCAGGCGATCGCATCGAGGTAGGGCGGGGCTCTTTTCGGTTTTTCTGGAGAGATGGGAGACAGCGTTCACTTGTAGATACTCGACGGTCGAACTGTCATTGCGGAATTGGCGCTGGCTTCAGTCTCGCAGCAGATCAGTCTTTCTCGGCCGTGGAGGTGGACCAAGGACATCCTACATTTCATGGAGAAGTGGACGCGACCAATGCATTCCAGGCGCTGGAGCTGCCAGAAGATCTGAGGACGTGCTTCGCTTGATTTCAATGCGAGCGGGTGACCTTGGCGCGACTGCGGTTGTCGAGGGGGGTGTCCAAGCGCATGATTTGGTCGCACCCTGTCTTCGCGTTGCCCCCATTGGGAGTCTCGCGCAGTGGAGCTGCGCCAGATCATTCACGAGTTCCTCGTGAAGACCCAGCGCGGCCTGGACGAGAGCGCCCGCGCCAACGAAGGGCGCCCCGTGCCCCGGCTCGACGGAGCACGTCGACACATCCGCGAGTCATTCGCCTAATGGGGCGGCGCCGAGAAGGGCCGCCGCGGAGATCGACCAGGTATTCGAGGATGTGGGGCCGCCCACCCACGGGGGCTCCTGTCGGGCGAGCAGCGATTTGCTCGGCTGGAGATTCGAGTCGACCTCTGCGGCAGCGGCAGTCAATCCCAGCCGGCTCTGGCGGATGCCTCTCGGGATCGACGAACTACTTCGCCGCGGGCGCTGCTCGGGCCGACGGCTGGAGAGTCGCGGGGCACTTGACTTTCGGCGCCCTGCCGCGGCGCGAGCACCTGTCCATCTTCGGCGCGGCGTACCTCTGTTCGGCCAAATAGAGGGGGGAGGACGCCGAGCCGCGGCCCGCGGTTCGCCGCGAACTTCGGCGGGTCGCTGCGCCGCCCCCGCTGCTGCGCCTGGACCTGTCGGCAAAGTGGGCCACGCAGGCCACCGCCGCCGACGCGTCGCCGCGGGGGCGAGGGGTCTCCGCGGCAACCGTTGACGCGAACGCCAGCAGTTCTCGCGGAGCTCAGAGGAGGGCGCCCACGCTCGGGCACACGCCGCCATGGCAGGACATCGCCTCAAGGCTCAAGACAGCGGTGCCTGGTCTCTGGGTGGCGACCCAGGCGGCGCCATTGACTTCCCAGGGGCCCCCGCTGAGCTGCTCAATCGGCATTGGATTACCGCATTGGACGATAGGCGGGCGCAGTCGGAGCACATGCCACTGCTCAAGGCGCGTGCTGTTGTTGAACCTCAAGCAGCAGCTGCGAGATTCCAAAAACCATCAGGGGGAGATCTCGTTCCTCGCTGACGCGATGTCCGTCGCCCTCATGAGTTAGGGGAAATCTTCGGTGGCTGGGTTGAATCGCATCTGTCGTCAGCGGGGGGCATGGTGCTCACGTTCGAGGGTATCTCCACGGATCCGATGGGCGCGCAGCAAGTCGAACCCAACCGATGGCCCGTCCAGAATTCGTTCCCCGCCGCCGCGCACTTTCGAGCAAGCTATCGGGGCGCTTCTCGATCCCCCCACGCGCCCGCCGTCGCCCAGCTCGGATGCTTCGTCGGCCTCCCCCCGACGAGGCGGGGCGCACGATGGCTCCCGGGATGCCGGCGAGGCCCAGCCCAGCGGCCTCCGCAGGTCAGAAAAGGAGCCGCGGGCCCGAGCCAACAATGGAGACGGGGGAGGCGAGGGCCCAGCAGCGGGCCCGTTTCCGCAGCGAGGCCGCCAGCCACGGCCAGCCGCAGTCGGACCTGACCTATTTCGAGGCTCGTTCAGCGTCGCGACCGATGGAGGACACGCACAATTGGAGGAGTTCGCCAAGTGGGCGAAGCTTCACTAGTACAAGCTGGGGACCGTGCCAGAGCGGGATTGGGCCCTGGCGAGCTTCGGCACCGAGCAGCACTTCAGCGGGGCCTCGGCGGCGGACTTCAGCGAGCCGCGCGCCGCGGCGTTCACCCGGACCGACGTCTCCAAGGACAGGGCCGAGCTCAAGAAGGCCCGCCGCGCGCAGATCGGCTTCCTGAAGAAGGCCCAGGGGCGGTCTCACCCCCCCTGCCCGCGGCCGACGGCCGCGGCCGTCGCGCTCAACATGCTGGAGCACGGCGAGAGCTGGATCCTGGGGGCGCTGGTCGTGCTGATCTTGCTGGGCCACCTCCGCCCCGTCGACCTGACGCCGACGCGGGGCCGCGACTTCGTTCCGCCCAGGGGGAGAGGGGCACCGAAGTGGGGTGACATGATGGAGTCTCTCGTTGCACCCGGCAGAGTGCCGGGAGCTCAGCCAATCTGGGCTTTTCGACGAGGCCACGGTGCTGGACAACCCTGAGTTCGCGGATTTCGACGCCGTCTGGAAGCGACCCCACGAGCTGAACACGGACAGGCCCCTGCCAGTCTCGCAGGCGAAGTTCGCGAAGGTGTTAACGAAGGCCGCGGACTGGCTCGGCCATCGGCAGCTGGGCGCGCACCACCTCTACCAACTCGGGCACGGCGGCGCCTCCCACGAGCTGGCGAGCACGGCCAGAAGCGCGGAGGGGGCCCAGAGGCGCGGGCGGCGGCTGTCCGAGGGGAGCATGCACCGCTACAAGCAGGGAGGCCAGGTGGCCGAGATGCTCCAGCATCTCTCGCCCGAGCAGTTGGACGCGGCCGCGCGGGCCCGCGGGCGTCTTTGACCTTTTGCAACGCCTCCCGGAGGTAGCGAGGAGATCGCCCAGAGGCGCGGCCCTTGATTTGTTCAGCTGCACGGGGGCTTTTTTCGCGATCGCGGAGACGGGAGACCGCCGTTTCATACTTTACGATCTTTGATTGGGATATCGCCCATGGTGACAAGGTTGCTATGCTGAACAAGATGTGCGGATCAGCAGTTCGAGGTTGCATAATGTCAGAGTTGATTACCGCGCTGCGGATTGGCCTACCCCGTAATTCATGGTCCATGGCGAGGCATGCTACTCATACTGGCCCGGGTCCTTAAGGTCATTTTATCATGTCACCGGCATTATTCGGCTAGGGGCTACTGACCAACGGCAGGTGGACATCGGGAACATGTTGATAAGGTTCGCTGTCTCGCTGGATATGTTGTGTCGCCGTCTGTCGATTTCCGTGTCCGTTGAGATCCTGTACACTTCGATGTTTTGGGGGACCCCCAGTTGCTCCGCATAGCTAGTCTACCCCACACCAGCATCATCGACATTGACTTTTGCATGCAAGGGAGCCCTGGAGGAAGCGTACACGTATCTTGTCGATCCATGCGCAACTTGGTGAGACTGCCTGTCATTGAACGTCCAGGCATGAAATACTTGATCGCACCAGCAAGCCTCATGACGTCCTCGAGGGGCGACGGGATGGGAAGCTTCTCGCAAAAATCGTTGAAGCATATCAAACGGGGTCATGTCGAAAGTTGGTGGGCTCTTTCGTCTCCGCTCCGATCGCTTACAGATTGGTTGCGCTAAAGAGGTCCGGCCTCAGCCATTTGTTCTGATCTGGCATTGCTGCAGTGATTGGGTGAGGTTCGATGCTGATTGACCGCATTTCTCGTATCCGTGCCAGAGCTGCCCTTGAGTGGTTGCGTCTTGCATCGTTCTCTAGAAATGGCGGCTGGCCGACATGAGGAGGTGAGGAGATGGTAGATGGACGCGCTCGCACATGAATCTAAATTTTCGAGGCCGGTGAATGAGGCCGCTCTGGTGTTAGAATGTCTTGGGAACAGGGACAGTCGGCTGCCCCAGATCAGGCGACCGAATTTTGATAAAATGATCGCCTCTATCTGCGGTCCGAAATTGGGACGGCTGAATGTTGAAAAAATGATCGCCCGTGTCTGGTCTTTTGCAGGACATGTTATAAACAACTTTCCATAGCAAACGTTCCCACCGCGCCCGCCCCGCCGAGTCTCGCTCACACTTCAGCTGGTGAGGTCCAATGCAGATTGACCCCATGTCTCGTATCTGTGCCGGTGCTGCCCCGGAATGTTTGCCTCCTGCATCGTCCACTAGAAATTGTTTTTGGCCGATACTTATATATGCACACAGACATATACATGCATGCATACAGACGCATTTGTCTACCTTTCCTTGTCCCAACCACTACCCCTTTGTTCTTTTATCAGCCACACTATCATTATTTCTCGCGCTCTCTGTCTGTCTCTCACTTTGTCTCTCTCCCCCTGTTCTTCCGTTAGCGATGGATGGGGCTATCACCGCACAGTTGCCTCGGGGTGGGACCGAACGCGCCAGACTGGGGGGGTACTTCTATCTGCCGAACCGCAGACGACCAGCGGAGAAGGCGACCCGACCAGGGTTGGTAACCATCGCGCTTTTCATCGCGCTGCCACTCGGCCGTCATCTTCCCTGAACTGTCTGATTTGAAGGGCCTGACGATTGCTATCAGAAGCCCCCTTCTGGGCTGCAGATGCTTTTGGTTCCTTGATCTGCCACCAGCATGCGGTTCCACGGCGAGCTGCACGCCTTGATCAACTCCCGCGACCGGCGCGGTGGACGTTGCTGGGGCGACAAGGGCCCCGAGGGAGGGTACCAAGGGCCAGGCGACCGAGAGCCCGAGAGTGGGAGCTCCGCTCCGCGTCATCGTCCTCCTCCCTTCCTCCCCCTCCTCCTCGGACAATTTCTCCTCCTCCTCCTCCTCCTCCTCCTCCTCCTCCTCCCGGTCCTCCTCCTCCTCCCGATCCTCCTCCTCCCCCTCCCCCTCCTCCTCCTCCTCTTCTCCTCCTCCTCCTCCTCCTCTCCTCCTCCCTCTCTCCTCCTCCCTCCTCCTCCTCCTCCTCTCCTCTCCTCCTCCTCCTCCTCCTCCTCCTCCTCCCTCCTCCTCCTCCTCCTCCTCCTCCTCCTCCTCCTCCCGGTCCTCCTCCTCCTCCTCCCGATCCTCCTCTTCCCCCTCCTCCTCCTCTTCCTCCTCCTTTTTTCCTTGTCCTTATGAATAATTTCTCCATGTCCCACCCCGATGCCAGTTTTTAGGGCCATCTGGGCGTGTCGCCTGAGACTTCCTCACCATTTATGATTCTGAAGCTTAAAAAGTGACAACAGTTTCACAGATGGAGGGCGGGTCGTTTTTTTTAATGTGGCACCATAGCGCCGCGCATATTCGTTTTAGAAATTTTCAACTTCAAGGAATGAGGGTGGGTCGTTTTCAAAATGTGGTTCTCGCCTTAGCGCCGCGCACATTTGTTTACAAATATACAAGAGTTTCACGGAATGAGGGCGGGTTGTTTTCAAAATGTGGCTCTCGCTTTAGTGCCGCGCGCATTCGTTTTCAAAATTAGCTTGGCGAAGGACCCAACCATGTGCAGTTGTGAGCACCGTCGTTGTATGCACCGCATTCGGAGGAGCTCCGTATAGGGTCACGAAACGTGTGATGGGTGTGCCAAAATTTGTCCGGTGGGCGCATGCGAAAGCAGCCACTTTGGCGTTCGGTGGAATTCCCAATGGGGCCACGACACGCGTGAGAGGTGTGCCGAAATAGGTGCAGTGGGCGCATGCGAACGCAGCCACTGAGGCCGTGCCGAAATGGGTACGGTGGGCGCATGCGAACGCAGCCACTGGCGCTTTCGGTGGAGCCCCCTATGGGGCCACGAACGCGTGAGGGGTGTGCCGAAACGCGAGTGGGTGACGCATGCGGGCGGTGGCACTGGGGCCTTCGATGGAGCTCCCGCCCTACGGTGCCACGGAACATGTGAGGTGTGTGTGTGTGACGAAATAGGTGTGGGTGACGCATGCGGGCGGTGGCATTGGGGCCTTCGGTGGAGCGCTCCCTATGGGGCCACGAAACGTGTGAGTGGTGTGCCGACATTGGTGTGCGTGACGCATGCGGGCGGTGGTACTGTGGCCTTCGGTAAAGCTCCCAATGGGGCCACGAAACACGTAAGGGGTGTACCGAAATGGGTTGTGGGTGACGCATGCGGGCGGTGGCACTGGGGCCTTCGGTGGAGCTCCCTATGGGGCCAAGAAACGTGTGAGGGCTGTGCCGGAATGGGTGTGGGTGACGCATGCGGGCGGTGGCACTGGGGCCTGTGCTGCAGCTCCCGATGGTGCCACGGCACGGGTGAGGGGTGTGCCAACATGGGTGAGGGTGACGCATGTGGGCCGTGGCACTGGGGCCTTCGGTGGAGCTCCCTATGGGGCCAAGAAACGTGTGAGTGGTGTGCCGAAATGGGTGTGGGTGACGCATGCGGGCGGTGGCACTGTGGCATTCGGTAGAGATTTCTCTGGGGCGGCGAAACGTGTGAGGGCTGTGCTGGAATGGGTGTGGGTGACGCATGCGGGCGGTGGCACTGGGGCCTTCGGTGGAGCTCCCTATGGGGCCAAGAAACGTGTGAGGGCTGTGCCGGAATGGGTGTGG